TATGTTTTAATTATTTTCCTTTATTTGCTTTTTGTTAGTATACTTGTTTAGGAGCATTTTTGTTTAGAAGTATGTATTCTTGCCTACTAGGGATTTTGTGCACACACACACACTTGAACTTTCCTTTGTGAAAATATTTTATCACTCCATTTTTGTGAAATACTTTCAAATCTTTATGAAAAACTTTCTAGAACAAAAATGAGTGATCGTTATTCTCATCATAGTAGTGTTCCTAGTCAAAATTCCCATAGTAGCAGGAAAAGTACTAAGGAATAACTTAGGGAGTTAAAAGAGTATATTAGGAGAACAGAGGAGGAAGATGAAAAAAAGAATGAAGAAACTAATGAACTCATTAGAAGGTTACTAAACAGGCTAGTGGTGGGGGTGAAACTAGCAAGCCCAAAGGTTATGATGATGTTAGACCTTCCAAACCTAGAAACCATGATGGTGAAGGGTCTTCCAAGCCTTCTAGAGGCAAACATCTAGAAGGAACTTCTAAGCTTAAAAGCTGACATACACATACCCATAGCACTTCAAGTGAAGGGTTTTATAGTAGTTATCATGATTATGACTATTATCAAAGATTGCCTTGGCAATATAGGCCTAGGCAAGAACAACGCTCTCATAGAGAACCTAGAGTGGACCTTCCTCCCTCCCATGGTAAAGATAATGTAGAAGATTATATAGATTAGTAGATAAAGGTGGAACAACTCTTCACTTGCCACAATGTGAGTGAGGAGAAAAGAGTTCCCAAGGCTACCTTTAACTTTATGTGAAGGTAGAACAATAACTAAAGAGGAAGCCTAGTCTTAGGAAAGAATTACCACCTTATACCCTAGAAAGGACTTTAAGAAGAAGGAGTATTCCTCTCAATCTAAGGCAGATATGTATCTAGTAAAACAAAAAGAAAAAGAAAAACCAAAAGAGAATCTTTCAAAGGAGTCTAATTAAGACAAGTCATGTCAAATGTTTAAAATGTCTATCTGGGGAAATGACACATAGCCTACCAATACCTTATTAAGAAAACTATAATTTTGAGGGGTAATGATATTCATAATAGTGATAGTACCAGTTCTTCTTCATCTTCGAGTGAGGAAGAAGTCATAAACTCTAGTGAAGAAATCTCTCCACGTGAAGAGACTTATTGGTTTCTAGAAGGTTACTTTCTAACCAACCCCATGAGCAAGATTGAACCCAAAGAGAGAACCTATTTCATTCTAGATGTAAAATTTTGGAAAAAAACATGTTCTCTCATTGTGGATAGTGGTTCATACAATATTTTTTGTAGCTCAAGGTTGATTGACAAGCTTAACTTGACTCCTATCACCCATTCTAAAGCTTATAAATTATAATGGTTAAATGAGGATGGACCATTAGAAGTTAAGGAACAAGTAAACATTTCTTTCTTCATCGAGAAGTATAAAGATGAAGTTTTAGGTGAAATCATATCAATGGAGGCAAGTCGTGTATTACTTGGAAGACATTGGTAATATGATGGGAAGGCTATCCATGATGGCCTTACTAACAAAATAAGTCTCACTCATATGGGAAAGAAATTTGTGTTGACTCCTTTACTACCTTCACAAGCCTTAGAGGATTGACTCAAAAAAATTAAAAAAAAAAAAAAAGAAACAGAAAAGAAGACACTACTCTTAGAGAAGAGCAAGGAGGATAATGTTTTCTCCAAAAATCTTCAAATAAAGAAAAGTCACTTTTCTATTAAAAATGATTGCAAAAAGACTTTTTTCTTCACATTGATTTTAGATCTTTTTCTAATACTACCATGGATTTAGAACTTAAGATACAAAAACAAAATACTTTTGAAAAGAAAGGATCTCAAGTTCTTAGTCTAGTGAAAAAAAAATGGACTTCACATAGTTTTACTTCCTATGCTACTAATTTGGTTTGGTGTCTGAATTAGAAAATCGTTGTCTATTTAGAACTCTTTCTATTTTAGATGTTCTAATAAACCATCCAACCTTTGGTTTATATAATTTATTGGATGCATCTCATGGTGTCTTATTTTTTGTTTTTGATCTTAAGGGATGTTCAAACTTGTTTGAACTTAACTTGACTACTTCCCTTCAAGACAAAATTAGATCATATGAGTCTTATAAACTCTTCTTTACACCTTCTTCTATTTTGTATCTAACAAATAATATGATCAAGGGTTATCAAGGTAGTTTTCTTGTTATGTTCACTTTATTTTCTTGTAGATGCCTAGGTTATTACATATGGTGCCTCAAGCAAGATACCTTAGTTTGTAGGAGTACATCCTTAGTTTGCTATAATTTTAGTACCTTTACATTTTTAAGATTTAGTTTTACACATAGACTACACTATAGTGAGGATCATATCCTTATCCTTAGAGAGTATATCTTTCCTAGTTTAGGGAACCTTGTTAGGACTATAGAAGGAATTCCTCATAGGGTGCACTTACCACACATAATATTTGAATATATCATCTCCAATGCTTGGTCTCTTGTTTTTCTTGTAGGTGGTGTTGTTTATGTGGAAGAATCTTGTTGAAGATGGAGGGGATGATGGAAACTTACTTTCCAGGATCCCTTTAGAAGAGATAAGACCAAGAAGGGTGAAGGTTGAAAAAGTTAGTTTGAAGAATTGTAGGGCACTTACCATTATTTTGTAAGGTATCATACCTTCGAAGCCTACCCTACCATAGAGGGCTCCTATTGTTGTTAAACATTGTTTACTTGGAATTAATTTTAGTAGTGATTATATTAGGATATTTTTGTCCTTGTATTTTGAACCAAGTAATATAGGTAATTTTGTTCTTGTATAATTTTTACTTAAGGGTGTAATTAGTAGATTAGGGAAGATGTAACTAGCTATGTCTTTTTAGACTTATTTGGACGTGGATGATCCAAAATTCTTTTGGCCCATGTGAATTGGACGTCCACTTGCTTATGCAAGTGGTTTGGACGTTCAAATCAAGTCAAGCTTGCCATCCAAGTTACAAATTAAGTCACATGACTTTGATAGTGACATCTCAACAACTTGTTAAAAGTAATCATTAGTTTAATAGTTGTAATAATTAGGCTAGGTAGTTATAGTTAACTTAAGTTAACCTACATTTTACGGTTAGGCAAGAATTGATTTCTAGTGCCAATTATTTTGTGCTCTATTATTTTGCTAGAGGGTGCTGCATTTTGCTGGTTAAATAGAGTGAGTAGTGTATTAGTTGTGGATATTAATGTGGAGGGTTGACTGTTTCTCTGTCAAGTTGACTATAATGAAGTCTGGGGTGGTCTTATATTTTGTGTCTCAAATTCTACTACAATCATAGACTTGTTAAAATGTAGTTTAGGGGTGCTTTCTCCTCTATTTCTATATGTTTAGAACATCTTGGTTAGAAAGTGTAATTTGTCTCTAGATATATTCAAATTAGTTTTAACCAAGAATGTTGTAGTATACACTAGTGGAAAAAAGGCTTTAAAAATTGGTTATTTTTAACTTTTAAAATCGGTTCCGTAACCGATTTTAAAAGAGCCGATTTTGAAAGTTAGACTTTTAAAATCGGTTATTTAACCGATTTTAAAAGTTAACTTTTAAGATCGATTATTTTATAACCGATCTTAAAAGTCCGGGATGCGAAAAAAAAAATTAAATTGGAACGGGCCGTTCCAGATTTTTAAAAACGAGTACGGGGCGTTCTCCTTGCAGAACGGGGCGTTCTCCTTGTAGAACGGCCCGTTCTGCAAGGACAACGACCCGTTCTCCATGCAGAACAGCCCGTTCCAGTTTCGTAGTTTGCCCAAAATGAACCTACAACGAAAATAGAGACAAAAGAAGAGCATTAGAAAATGAAAAGAGACGCAAGAAGAACATGAGAAGACGAAAACGAAAATGACAACGAAATTTACCTTATTAGAGACTTTAGAAATTGAGAGCGCAAGAGTGTAAAAAAATGAATGGAGGGAAAAATTAAAGAGAATGAGAAATATAAAAGGTTTCTGACGATACTTTTAAAACCGGTTATTTATGAACCGATTTTGTATACTACATACAAAATCGGTTCTAAGATAACCGATTTTAAAAGTGTTACTTTTAAAATCGGTTCTTAAATAACCGATTTTAAAAGTAGTACTTTTAAGATCGGTTAGTTAAGAACCGATCTTAAAAGTGACGTTTGATACAACTTTTAAGATCGGTTCTTTTGTAACCGATCTTAAAAGTTGTGTCAGACATACCTTTTAAGATCGGTCATAAAATAACCGATCTTAAAAGTACTTTTAAGATCGGTTAAATTTTAACCGATCTTAAAAGTGTTCATATTATTTACAAAATTACCACCGTGTCACTTTTAAGATCAGTTATCCTATAACCGATCTTAAAACTCCAATTTTAAATCTAATTTTTGCACTAGTGATAATAACTTTCTTTAACTTAGTTTTAACCAAGAATGTTACGGTATAATAACTTTCTTTTTGTATATGAGTTTATAATACCCCTTCACCTTGTTAATAAAAAAAATTTGTCTGCAGATTAAAAAAGTCATATATGTGTGACTTTATTGTTGCACAAAAATTGTATCACACTATATATGTGATTTCCTTCAAGATTTTTCCTTATTTGTTATTAAATTTATTACTCGATCAATGTTATAAATAGTTAATTTTTTTTTGCATTCTCAACATAAAACATTTTATATTATTGACTAATTAAAAATTAGGTCATTATAATTTTTAAGATAATTGTTATAAAAAATAAATAAATAAATTTACCGTACATAAATTTATGTATGTGACTGGATGAGAGTAGATATGCACTATCTACTCTATTGTGAAAGAGTAAATCTTGGACACAATTGCTAAAATCTCTCTTAACATTTCTCATTTTTCTTTACCTCTCTCTTATTGTTGGAAATTTCTACTAAGAGAAGAAAAAAAAAAAAGGTACGATTGTTTTTAATATTTGACTTCTTTCTCATATTAAAAGTTAATGATACCGGAGAAGATACACACTTATTCTCATAGCATTATATCACTTATCACATGTATTTCTCTCTTCTCTGTCTTTCTTCTTTGTGTCTCTTACCATGGTATGCACACAAAAAGTGTTTCATTTTATAATCATGTTAAGTTCCTAAAACTTGGTAGGCAAAGTTGTTTTCATATTATATATAGCAAAACCCTATCATGGGATAACCTCCATAGGAATTTTTTTTATATAACAATTCACTTGGCATCTTTTTCAAACAAGAAAAGTTGTGCAACTAAAGACAATCACAAGAGCATGGCAAGCATTCTCCTAAATCCATGCCAACCCTACTTGTCTCGGATCCATTTCATGCCACCAAAGAAGCACAAGTTGCACCATCGTGATCGTGAATCTGGTTCAAGGAACCGTTTGGGGTGCAAGAAAATTATGAATAGATCTTCCTCCTTTAATTACAAAAGCAGTGGTAGTGTTCCCCTTCATGAGTTGCCTTGGGTATGTATGTATATGTGCCCTACTTTCTTTATGCTTTCTCTCTAAGTGTGTTTAGATAAATTTCTTGTTAAAATCATTTTTAAAAAGCTAATGAAAAAGAGGTTTTACAAATTAGTATATATGAAATATTTTATTTTATTTTATTTTTTCTCTTAGAAGTATTATTGGAAAAATTTACTCAAACAGATTCAAAATGTTATTATGTTGTGCATGTATGTATTTAAAGTTAGTTTTAATTATTATAATTTTATTTTTCAGGCTTCCTTTAATGAATATATAGAGGACAAGGAAAGGGTACTCCGATCTATATTTCCAGAAAATTCAACATGCCACCAGCAGATTAACGAGGTACTTCCATTTTGCAGATTTTAATGTTGCTTAATAATGCCTTGACTTTTGGAAACGAATCTCATTTTTCATCTTTCTTGCTCAAATATTGATAATTTATTTTCCATTCAACGTTTGTATATTAAATTATAACAATACGCTATCAAGGTTTGTTGCAGTATATATTTAGAATAAAGCATATGAAAAATGGTTGATGCTATCTGATATCATGTTATATATAAGAGAAATCTAATTACTTCAATAATAAATTTACTTAAATTTATTCTATTTAATAATTCATGTTTTTTATTAAATTTCAATGATCTAACTATTAAATTTAAAATTCTTAATACATAAATTAAGTTTATAAATTTTTTAAAAATTAAAAAGTTATTTCATTAATTAAATAAAATATTAAATAATTTATAAAATGAAGTATTAAATGATTTTTAAATTTTTAAAAAATTTGTAAACTTAATTTATATATTAAGAACTTTAAATTCAATTGTTGGATTGTTGAAATTTGATATAAAATATAAATTATTAAATAAAATAAATTTAAATAAATTTATTCTTGAAGTAAACATATTCATCCTTTTATATATATATGAGGGCGGTGGAAGAAGCTTTCTTTTCTTATTTTTTTTTAAAGACAAATAAATTAAACAGTGTAAGAGAAACCATTTACAATGTTTTTAGTCACACAAGTAAACATTGAGCAATGCATCCTCTTGGATTAATGCATGCACCAGTTAAAAAAAAAAAAAAAAAAACAATCGATTATCATATAGAAGGTAAAATTCGGATTTTATTTTAATTTTAATAAAGAAGTATACCTTATTTTTACAACAAAAAAAAATCCTATAAATGTTAAATAATACTTTTATCAAAACTTTATACTCAAGTCAGAAATCATATATCAATTCCCAGTTAAAAAATACAAATTTTAAACCACTTTGTTAATTGGAAGATAAAACTTTAATCCTACCTACCATCAATAGAGGATCAAAAAACACATCAAGAAAATGAGAAGTTATTGAATGATATGAGCTACGTAACTAGCAGTTATTGTTGCAGTTTATATATATATATATATATATAAAAGGTTCAAACGACATCGGTGTAACTTTTACTAAGTGTTACACCGCTCAATAACTTAGATCATATATACTAAATTTTGTTAAAATTGAATAACAACTTGAAGGTAATCAAAGTGTTCATATTTTAGTATATTTTCAAATGTATATATTACGTCAATTTTATTTTATGAGAATGAAGTATCAAATCATCTTAGATTAATGTAAAATTTGGTATATATGATCTAAGAGATATGAACTTTCAATCTAACGGTTGGATTTACAAAATTCACATTTAATATAAAGTTATTGAGAGGTGTAACACTTAATTAAAGTTACACCGGTGTCGTTTGAACTCTCCTCTATATATATATATATAAGATGATTTGATACTTCATTCTCATAAAATAAAATTGATGTAATATATACATTTCAAAATATACTAAAATATGAACACTTTGATTACCTTCAAGTTGTTGTTCAATTTTAACAAAATTTGACATATATGATCTAAGAGATATGAACTTTCCATCTAACGGTTAGATTTACAAAATTCACATTTAATATAAAATTATTGAGCGGTGTAACACTTAGTAAAAGTTACACCGGTGTCGTTTGAACCCTCCTCATATATATATATATGACACGTAACTAAATTTTATTAATTTTTTATAAATTAAAAAATTAATTACGCATTAAGTAGAGATTAATTGAGACTATACATCATCCGGACTTAATTATTAAAAATAATCACTATAGATTAGTCTGGTGGTTGAAGGAGAAAGAGTGAAGATAAATGTATGAACATCTAAGTTTAATGTTTAATGTTTTTTTTTTCAACTTTTTTTTTTTATAAATAAAAAAGTATAAAAACTGAATTACGCTATTTAAAATAAATACTTTATATAGTTTAATTTTATTAATTTCATTAAAAAAATAACTTTTTTAAAAAAAAAAATATCATTCATCGAAAGTAATTTAGCCAGTTTTTTTCTTTTTATATTTTAGTCAATTATTTCTGTTTTTTTTTTAAAATAAAATAAAAAAAAGCAAATAAATAGTTTGAAAAAACTGTGTAGTGAAACGTGGTCTTGAAATTTTCATATTAATAACCACAATTTCGCTTAATGAAAATAATTCCTAATTTTATCATCAAATGTTAAAAAGTAGAATTATTTTGAAGCTGCACCTAACTCATTAAAATCTTTTTGCTTATAAAAAAAAAAAAAACCTTGGTCCTTGAGTACCGAATTTGTTAATGGTTAGGAGTTCAATGCAATCCTTACCCTTTCATTTCATTCTTTTTAATTATTTGTAACATAAATTTTAACGTATGTAAGATTTAACTTGAGTTGTGATTTTTTTTTCTTAATAATATTATTTGAAAAAATTTTATTAACCTATATAGTTTCTAGTAAAAGAATATAAAATAATATATAAAATTAATTTTTTTTCATCAATTTATTAAAAAAATTTAATTTATATATATAAAAAAAAACTTAAAATGACACATATTATAAGAATGGGAGAGTAATATATAACGAGAATTAAAAAGTTATGTTTATAAATATTATTTTTCATATAAAATATACTTTTTAATTAAAGTTGTTGAAGTAGTAAGATATTTTTGAGTTTTTAAGAATTTTTTGTACCCTTCTTTTTATCATATATATTAAACATGTAGGTAGTAGGTATTGACTAATAAATTATTGATTTAAATGAAACTGAACTTAATCCTTTTATATAAGATTTTTTAAGTTTGAATCTGATGTATAAAAAAATAATTAAAAAAGAAGACTCATAAGAGATGATTGGCCAAAATTTTTTGCAAAACTTAATAATTAAAAAAAAAGTTAAATATTTCACTTAAATAAGGATTAGAAATGAGTCGAGTCAAGTTGTCAATTGAGTTCGAGTCGATAACATTTGATTTAGCTCATAACTGAATTTAAGTTTAGCATGAACTTTTTTCTCGAACTTAAGCTCCACTCAATTCAAACTCACTAATAGCTTAGATCAACTTGTTAGCTCGAATTATATTAACCAAGACTCAAATTTTTTTAATCTTAAAATATAACCCTTAGATTAATTTCCTCTCACTTGATTAACCTCTAAATTTTCTCTCACTTGATTAATCTAAGAATTATATTTTAACTCTCTCATCTCTCATAATAAATTCTCTCTCACTTGATATGCTCCCTATATACATATATATATATATATATATATATATATATATTCTAGAAATTGGACTAATGACGTATAATATATTTAATGAATAAGATTATTTATAAAATATGTGACATGTAATTGATAATGAAAAACGTTATTGTTGTACGAATGTGACATATTTGTGAATTTCAAGCGGGTATCCTTCCTCTATTTCTGAAGGATATGTACATTGTCAACTATAGGGAAAAGAAGGAAAAAAAAATAGAGGGCCCGCCTTTATATATATATATAATTTTATACTAGTTGAATCATTCATCTAAAAATATTGCTTTGTCACTTATACATACACAGGAAGAGTGGAGAGTTAAGATGAGTGGCATCCAAGCCTTGTTCTTAACATTTCAACCAGTAATACACATTAAAGCTAAATGCATATCTGAAGCAGATGAATACCCACCTGAGATTCCTGGCCATATCACCAAGCTTCTGGCGTTTCATATTGTAAGTATTACAAATCTATGAGCTTTTAAGAAAAATATATAATATATATTGATAATGTACGTTCTGTGAAAGTATTTATAGAAGAAAAACATATGAAAGAAAAATAAAATAAATATTTTAAAAATTAAAATTAACTTATGTATAAATTAGTTTATAAAAACTCATTTATATTATATTAGACAAGTTTAGGCCTCAAATTCCCTCTATAAGCAGCTCTATCTCTGATGGTAGCATAAAAAATTGCAACAGACTCTACTGGTTGAAAAATGATGTAATGGAGGCAAAAAAAATTTGGGAAATAGGTAAGGCACTAGGAGTAACATATGACCAACAAGAGGAAACAATAATTGGGAATTTAGTTAACTTAGAGAGTAGAGATAAACAGGAAAAGGAAAAGCTTATCAGAGGCTCTCAAGAGGGAAAAACTAAAGGTGGATTATGAAGCTGCTAACTTTCAATATGAGGGGCTTAGGGGGTCAAATCAATATTTTCCTTATAAATACTATTGTAATTTAATATTTTCCTTGTTAATTGCTTCATATACCTAGTATAAAAGGGTTCAGGTATTCCTTGTACCCAGTGTTTTAAAACCCGGACCGACCCGGCCGGTCAGACCGGTTGGACCGGGAACCGGTGGTCCAGCCGGTCCGAATCTGAAGTTGGATCGGTTATGCAGTCGACCCGTTTTAAACCGGATTGAACCGGTCAATTTTCCAATAATATTAACTATTTGCTTGTACCTGTGTATTCCAATAATATTAACTATTTGCTGTTAAAAAAAATATATTATATTAGACAAGTGATTAATTTTTATTTTTATTTTTTTGTAGACAAGGTGTGAGTTTCCTGATCTCAACGTTGATTACATGCCACTAGATTTCAACATCAATGTCAAAGGAGCCTTGTATTTGGAAAGGAAGGGAAGGCGTAACTGGATGAAGAATAATATAGACATTAGTTTAAACCTTACTTTTCCTCCATTACTCGCCTGGGTTCCTGAATATGTCTTGGAAAACATTTTACAATCGGTTAGAATTACATTCTTAATTATGTCAAACTATGTTCAGTAAATGAGTCTTATTCACCTCAATGTGATTATAGACTAATTGTTTTATGTTTTGGTTGATTCACAGATTCTCAAAACTTACGTGGAGGATGTTAATAATGGATTTACTGTTAGATTGTTAGCTGATTATAACTCGTTCAAGAGGAACAAACCCAGATGTTCGATTTAGTTTTGCTTGTTGATCCATTATTAATGAATCAATTTTATTAGGAGTAAGAGTTAAGATGATATTTGTATAATTACATTAACTCCTTATCATGTAATATTTCTTTTGGGTTGGACAATTTCTTTTGTAATAACTATGGATAATAATCATGATAAATCTTTAAAATATGTTAGAATTTTCTAACATGCTCAATTATATATAACTATTAAGAGTTACATCGAGAAAATGTTTCAAGATATTAGTTAAAAATAATAAATATCAAGATACTAACATTACTTCAAATGTAATTTACAAAGAAATTTATCGTAACATCTATATCTATGCTAATAATAAAAGTGATATGCTTTTTAAATATTCATATTCTGTTGATTGTTTTACCTTTGCTTCCAAAACACTATTTCTCTCTCATATATACTCTTTTATTTAATTTTATTTTTTCATTATCTTCTTTTCTGTAAATTTGTTTCTCAAACTTTTCACACCCTTTAAATATCTATCTAAAACCATTTACACCTTCTATTTATTTACCATTCACATATATTTAATTTCAGTTATTTTTATCATTTGTTTTTTTAAAAATGCATAGAAGTATGAAGTGCTTTTTTGCATTAGTTACATTAAAATCTTACAAATGTGTAGTATTTGTTCAAGGTTTAAGGTTTATAGTTTATCGACTCTTCTACTTTCTTGTCAAAAAAATCATTGTGCTTCCTGAGATACTAATGCTTTGTTTGGTGGAGGAGGGCGAGTTGAAAAAAATATGTGAAAATTAATTTAATAGGAAATAACTAAAAAATAAAATAAAATTTGTAGTTATTTGGTGAGTGGAATTAAGTGAAAAATAGAAGAAAAAAAATTGACACTTTAAAATTATATTTTATATAGCTAGGTTTTTATGTAAAAGTAAATTATTTAAATAATTACATTTTTATCTAATATATATTTATATATTTAAAATAGCCTTGTTAAAACATTTTTTTGTGAAAATTTTAAATAAATTCACCCATAAAAGAGTGGAATTAAATTCACATAAACTTCATCATAATATCCTCTCAAATTTATTTAGATTCTCTCCTCCAAACACACGTGTGTGTGTGTTTTTTTAATTCTTTAATAATCTCTCTTTCTTCTCTATTTCCTACTAAATTACATTCCTAAACACACCATAAAAGTAAAAAGGAAAAATAAAGTCTCACTACCACGTGTGAGGCCCAAAAGTTTGCAGATAAAGTATCCGACCCAATTTTACATTGGTGTTGCTTCCTTTTCACGAACGTGTCTACCAATCTATCACAATGTTTTGACTTTGAAGATGTATCGCATTTTTCCTTGCTTTAGGACCTTCGACTTTGAGCCCAAACAAGTAAAAATAAATTAAAATTTGGTTCATGATATATACACCTCTTTTTTTCTATAAGCACACTTCCTTTTAAAAAAAATTAAAATTTTAAAATATTTTTAATTTTTTGTTTTAAATTTTTTAATTTTACATTCACAACATTTAATTTAGTACTTTTTTTTCACACATCTTTCTTCTTTTTTTCAATTTTTACATGCACTCCCTTATTTTTCCTTCACCTTACCTATTTTGGTAACATGTGAAAATTGAAAGATAAAAAGAAAAAGTGTGTGAATAAGAAGAAGAAAGTAACAAATTGAAAGTTGAAAGTGTAAAATTAATTTTTTTTTTAAAAAAAATTATAATATTTTATAATACTTTTTTTTTTAAAAGAGGTGTACTTATAAAAAAAAGGAGGTGTATATATCATGAGCCTTAAAATTTTGAGCTTGCAGGGCCTGATTGATCCATTGCCTTAACGTAACCAAAACTTTTTATATTGGGCTACCTTTTTGGATCCTACCCATTTTAACACACCTGCCTTCATCAGTGATATATATAACACTATAATTGACATAAAAAAATATAAATAAAAAAAAGAAAGAAAAATAACATTCTAAAACAAACACATGCTGGATTTTGACAAGGAAAATATACACGACCTACTCATACGGAGTGACTCATCTCTGAAAATTGATAAACATGGAACTGTAATCGATATGGAACTGTAGTCTTCACAATAAATAGTTTTAAGGGAAAATATGTTTTTATCTCTAAAAATATTTTGAAATGTTGGCTTTAGTCTTTCTAAAATTTTAACACGTTTTTAGTTCTTTCATTTACTCAAAACATACAATTTTAGTTCTTGATGAGGATTAAAACCATCACTTTTGATAACTGTATAGATTAAAAATGTATTAAATATATATTTTAAGAAATTAAAAATATATTTTTTTCATAATTTTAATACAGATAACAAATTACAGAATATCATTTTATAATAAATTTATCATATCTACTAACAAGATTTGTGATAGTTGATTTCTCAAATATTTGATTCCCGACCATATGAACAAAATAAAATTTATTGAGAGAGATAGGAAAAAATATATATAGAAGAAGAAGAAATAAATAAGAGTGATGAATAAAAAGATAAGGAGAACTTGAGATAGAGAGGTCATGAGAGAGAGAGAGAGAGAGAGAGAGAGATAAATAAAGTGAGAGAGGAAAAAGAGAGAATAAAAAAAATGAGGAGGAAATAAATGAGAAAAAAATCATGCTAAATCTCTTAGATTTTGATAAGATTGTTAGATGAGTGAAATATATATAAATTCTACTAAAAAAATCCCACAAAATTTATCATTCAAAATAATTCATTAAAATCTATATATATTTTTAATAATAACAGACCTTTTTTAAATAAAAAAAAGTCTTAATTGAATATTACTAGATTTTGGCATACTCCTAAAAAAATTCATGATTATTTTAATTCAATGTTACTAAATTTAATTTGATGTATTCTTAAAAAAAAATCTTAATATTCTTAATTACATATCACATGACTTTTTTATATTAGAAAAACTCTTAATTAGATACACAAGAGTTTTTTATAATGAAAAAATCTTTTAAAATTCTTTGAAATCTCAATTCAATATATCCCTTATATTAGTATTGTTTGTGATATTTATTATGACTTCAATTAATTATATAGTTTATTTTCTGATTTTTAAAATTTTTCTCATAATTCTATAATATATTAATATTTTTATAAACGAATTTAATTATTTAATTTAACCCAACTCAATTAAATTCAGGTTGGTTTTGTTGACAAAAAATTTGCATTCTTTATCTAAATTATGTTTTATTGATAAAAATTGTTAGTACAGATTATCGAATCATTTATATTCCTTACTACTCCTGTAAAAGTTGATTATATAAAGAAGTCTTATAATTTTTTATATAAAAAATTTTGTTTTACTCTGAATCTAAATTAGTTTAAACATATCCACCTTAATTTATTTACACACTTAATTGGAAGATATCTTTTATTTAAAGAAAAATTGCAATACCTACCGTAACTATAAAAAATATATCTGGACCCTAGAGGATTTATCAGCGGGCTTTAGCAATTCAATTTTGTTATATATACTTGAAGACACTATGATGTTCATGCCCATATTTTTGGGATTTTAAGGAAGTCCAGCCATCATAAATTTGAAGCTCACAGATTGCATGATGATCACTTAATGTCCTTCAAAGTTCATTGACTGATTTTCTGTATGTCACTTAATGCCTTACATCTTGTCAGAATGCAAGTGCTGCCTTTTCTTTCAAGGCAAACATTTAATTGGACAGGACACAAAAAATTTCATAGGACTTCAACAGGGAAACTTATGCTCTCTTTTATATATATATATATATTTATTATTATTATTATTATTATTATTATTATTTTATGATAAGACTTACGTACAGTAGTTTCTGATAATAATAATAATAATAATAATAAAACCTTAGGTACCTAATGTAGTTTTTTTAGTAAAAACATTGACAAGAGATGATTCATCAAGATTATGAGATAAGAAGTTGATGACATGTTGAAATCTTCAGATAAAACATTATTGTCTGTTTAGTGTGTATTTGGAAAATCATTCAATCACTATTGAACAAACTTTTTTTACTTTTTAATGTAAAAAAATCAAAGCAAGCGTTATATTATTTTTCAGTTACGATGAACGTAATTGCAAAACAAACATACCCTTAATAATACTAAATATTTAGTTTGACTCAAGATTTTATTTGTTGAGAGTCAGTAGAAATCTATTAGAAAAATTTTAATTCTAATGTCAAGAAAGTACATAATGTAGTTAAGATATACTACCTTATAGAGAAAAAAAAAACAGATTTATTATGAATAATAAAAATAATTAAATTAATTAATTTTAATTAATAATAGCATAATTCAAATTTTATTTTAAAAATATATAAAATTAAAGGATTTAAGTAATAGTAATTCAGGATTAGAAGTACTAGTATTTCAGAATTCGAATTGAGTAATAGTGATTTGCGTTTCTTGACTAAATTATTCGGAATTCAAATATTGATTTTAGATATAGAGTAAATTATATGTTGGGTGGATAATATGTCGTCTTATGAGCATTCAAGGTCTCTGACTAAAATTAGTTATTACTTTTATCGTTGAATATTTTGTACTAATATATAATTAAAAAAATTATTATTAGATTTAATGACATTACACGTAATTCAATTTTTTTTTTGTGAGAAATGAGAGTCACTTATATTATTAATATCCCAAAATGTTTCCCTTGTAAGAAGAATGAGTGGTTGTTGTTTCAATAATATAATTCGTAATAAATTAATGGTATTAACAGAAATTAACAAGCAATATATGCATAGTAAGATTTAAAAAACGGTCTATCTTCTTTATAATTGAGACGAAAAATAGACATTTATGTCTTATATGAAGGATTAGAAGTATTATAAATTTTACTTTAATTTTAATACCAGCTTTGTATTTTGGTTATGTTAACAAAATAGAAGTAATGATTATTGAGATGAAGAGTCAATCCTAATAAAAATAATATTAACAGTATTTATAAAATTATTAAAAATATATTGATAATATAAAATATTTAAACTGTTCATTCATTATAAATCATTGAGTATAATTTTAGCAACGAACTCTTTATCAATATTTGTATATTAAAAGCGAGTTTTTATTTTGAATGAGAGTGTTTTTTTTTTTAAATTAATAAGAGGGTTCGAATGAATTTTTTGAATTTTTTTTTGTCTAATTCGATTTTATTTATTATAA